TCTGATTTTCTTCTTTGGCAAACTTATACGTTCCTAAATGAGGTGATGACAAAAGGCCCCCTGACTTCTCTCTCTCTCTCTCTCTCTCTCTTAAAGCTCAGTGTATATGCACTGCAGATGTGGTATAGGGAAAGTGTCCAAATGGCTCTCAGCACCTGTATACACTCCTCTGTAAGGCGCTGGAGATTAAGGTACCCGTGTAGGCATCAGCTGGGACTCCAGCCCTAATCGGAGGTAATTACAAGGTGGAAGGATTTAGTCAAGCTGTTGTTGATGTTTGGGGACTTTTTCTCGTTTGCTGCCGGTTTGTTATTTTTCTGCATGTTTCAGTGAGTATGTGTACATACTTGCTGGGAAGTGCTCATAATGGTGGATTTATAAAGCGTGTTATTTGTGGTACTTCAGGTACTCGTCACACTTCAAAGAATGTCTGTCCGTCCGGCGCGACCGCCGGTCCGTCCCATTTGTCAGCGTTTGTTTGTCTATGTGCGTGAAAACAGGAAAGAAAGCCTGAACATGTCGTGCGCGAGGGCCCACTTTATATGCCTTGATCTGCAGCGTCAACAGACTTCTGTCGCTAATCAGTGCTCGGAAGTGGTAACTCATGCTGGTATCAGCTCTCTTGGACCGTTCCTCAGAGATGTGGGCTGTGGATGTGCGAGACATGTTGGTATTTGTGGTTTGGATGCTTTCAGAGAACTGGTGATGAATAGGCCGTGTGTGCGCTTGATACCGCATTGCTCATCGAACTTGATTCGATCACTCGGTTCTTCATCAAGCCTTTTTGCTTTCGTCCCAGTAGACCTATTCATGCTCCACTCACAAATTCTTTCTTAGAAATGGTTGCTAGGCTGGCAAGACTTTGGCAAAAATTCCATTGGACTTAATGAGAATATCACACAGTCAGTGATATTTAATTTCCGTGTGTGTGAAAGTTCACTGTACCGATAGATCGGGAGCAGTTTTTTTGTTAAATTGCCAAAACTTGCAACCTGTCTAGTATCGATAGCGACACAACTTTAGTAGCATGACATTTTAAACTGGGAACTCTAAGGTGCAGCACGATTTCTCATTAGATTGAATGTCATATGTTCTGTTAAGCTTATCCAACCTCACACTTGCTACAGAAAACATTTTAGGGTCCTTTCACACCTGCCTTATTTGGTGCAGACCTTTCAGACTTTTCTTTAGTTCAGTTCGATTTGACATGATTGAACACTTCACTCAGATTCCAAACAGTGGAACTGTGGTTCTACCAGAAAGACGCGAGAGACGAGCGTGAAGGAAGAAAAACTTTATTCTCGATAGGATTTAACAATTTAAGTTAAAGTTATATTCTTTGGTGTGGGCCCCTTCGTCATTCTTGGAACATCTGGAACCTCGCAAATCCTGCCGTATAGGGATTGCAGGGGTGGCGCCTACCCCCTGGGCAACCAGGCAGGGACAAAACTGGTGGAGGGGTGGAGGAAGGATTGAAATGACGAAATGTCGGCATCTGAAAGCAGCAAAGCAGACTTGTAAATCGAGTCATTTTAAAGACAGGTGGAAGCTGGTAATTGGTCAGAGTTTTGAGTGATGTAGCATTAGAGTCTCCCTGGTAGAACTTGCAGTAAAGCTTTTTATTATGAGTTGCACCAAATGAGAAAATGCACCACCAGAACATGCTTTTCTCAGTGCATTTCAGTGGTGTATTGTCTGCATGCCTACTTGTTTTAATATTTGACTCCTAACCAGCACTCATGTTGCTCTTGCAGTAAAAGCTGCTGCTAATAACAGCAGATGAGCAATAGAAGAAAGTATTTTTAATAGGTTGGGCCAGGCATGGGAGACTTGATTGGTTAAATTCAAACTGATGCCTAAGAACCAGTTGAATATGAACAGTAAGGTAAAGATAGGTTTATTTTTGTTTCTCTGGCTGCCGTACGTGTAGACATTCAGTAAGGCCCACAGGCCAGATCAGACCCGCGACAAAATCCTAAGTAAAATACTAAACATATTTTCATTTTCTATTAATATTAGCCCTGTCACAATGTGCTGCACTACAGTTCCCAGCATGCACTGCAACGTAATGTGCGCTCTGACTCTCTTCCCCCAACAACAGTCTATGGGACAGTGGTTACACCTCAGTTCTACACTATTCCACATCAGTCATATCACCAAACACACTAACTGCATTTCAGCTGCACTTCAACCAATTTACTATATCATATACATTACATACATACATTATATACAATATACACTTAACGTCAGCTCAGCAGCTCAGAAATTGAGCACAAGTCTTAATGAACTTGCAGCAAAGAAAGGATGCCAGGTGTCTCGTTCAAACAAATATGTAGGTGTGAAAGACTGAGCTCCTGGGGGCATTTAAATTTACAGTATTTCAAGTATTCATGTAATATTTCAAGGAAAAGAGATGAAAGAAGTGAGCAAAATTTCCATGATATGGCCTCTTCAAGAAAACAAGGATCGTTTGTGTTACATTGCGTTAACTCACTATTTAAAGTTCAGTAAAATGAACCGCCGGGCTACTTACATTCTTCAGCTAGAACTCCAGATCAGTTATTACAGAGCAGATTTGTGAGTTCTGAGAGTTGCCGTGCTTTGGGTTTAGCTGAATTACCAGTTTTTAAAGTACCCACTTGCAACGCTGTGGAACTGATAACCGGCACGCGTAAACTAATCAAATCATAAGAGCCCCCTGGGGTCAGCGTGTGGTTCCAGCGTGTGAGGGGTTGAATCAGCAGAGTGCTGAAACTCCCCACATCCGGCTCTAATAACCTTCATATGGCGCTCTCTCTCAGACTGTTTACACGGCCGTGGCGTATCTCGGCGCTGGTGTAAGCAAAGCCCTAATTATTTTTCCCTGCCGCACCGCAGACAGAAAAGGCCGCTTCCTGCCGGGCTCACGGCTCCGCCGCCGCTCCGCTTTGAAGGGCGGCCATGTTTATTTGCGCGGGGGGACTCTGGGGCTGCTGGGAGAGTAAACAGCGGCCAGGGCTGCTGGAGATGGTCCTGGACGGAGACGCAGCTCTTTTTTTTGCCACTGGTGTCTGAGGCACTTCTGCGCTTGTTCTCTGAAAGTAAAAATGCTAACATTGTCAATGAAAGATTCAGGATAAGCATGATTGATGGAACGGAAGCGAGATGCTGACTGTCAAGGTTAGACATGTTTAGGGAAGGAGTTTGAAGTTGGGGGTGCTGAGATTATGTAACATACCTGTGACGGGAACAGTGCTAATTTTTATGATAATGTAACAGATCGTAAAATGATGTATACAGCACACACATGTAACTCACACATTCAACCACAGATACACCGATCCACTCTATGCTGTCTTGTTCTGAATGAACTTCATGTGAACGAGCTGAGCACCAACCAATCAGGTTGTTGATATGTGGCACAGTAACCCCTCAGTCACATGGTGAGATTTAACACTGGAATGCACCCGAGCAAAACCAGCACAGACCAGCATGCCTGGCCACCAGCAGAATGAGCATATGTTGTGTGTGGATGCTGGCATTCTGGTCAACAAGCATGACCACACTGGGTGACCAGCAAAACCAGAACCAAACCAGCATAAATCAGCTTAGGCCAGTTTAGATCAGCATGGATTTTTTTTTTTCAGCAGGCGGGAAATATGACAGTTCATCATGATGTTATTATTACACCAAGAATAAGAGAATTGAGCAATATTAGGGTGTTTAGAACTGACCGATAACTCTACATAGACTTTCCCTCTTTGCACCGCAACCTGCATGTGTTTGAGCAGTAACCCCCCAAAGCGTCCGACAGAAGGCTTTCTGCATTGAAAATGCAGCTATAATGTAAACACAGCTACTTTTATATAATAATAATTATTATTAATATTATTATTATTATCAGTTGTGATCCTAAAATCTTAAATCTTCTTGTGTCCATGGATATGTTTACATTTTTTAGGTGAGATATTCCTTTGGATCAGGGCCACATCTAACAATCAGGGACGGGTTTCCCAAAAGCATCTTAGCACAAAGAAGATTCTTAAGTGGTAGAGCGAGCATCACACTGAACACTCACTCTACCAGTCAAAGGTGCAGTGTGTAAGATAGACAGTCATCTATTGGCAGGAACGGAAAATAGTATACAAAACCATGTTTTCATTAGTGGTTCATTAGTGTATAATAACTAGTGACTCACTAAGAAACAATTCAAAATTACTTATTTAAAATCAACTGGGCACACAAATGTTCTTCAATAAACTATTGTCCCAGTACTGCAAAATATACAGTACACCAAGCTTCACATTTGACAAATTCCCTGAGAATTTCTTTTTGGACAAATATTCATACAAATACTTTATTAACCATTACTATTATTACCATTTGTAACCATCTCTATCCCAAAATCAGTTCAATTCCCAACTTCAGGTTGATGTTTCACAACAAATTGCATGCATTTCAATGCATTTTTACACTTGTAATAAAGAATGAAATTAAGATTAATGGAAAGGTTCAGCAGAAAATTTACACAGCTTACCCCAGTCAGGTTTCCAAATTGTGACTTCTTCTTTAGTTTAGCACAGGAGATGTGAGGCTAAAATTGCTAACAAACCTTAGAAGTCAATAATCACCCAAATGTAATCCATTAATACATCTTTCAAACATCTCTGAACATTGTTAATCCTGAATTTTTAAAATGAAGATGTTTTAAATATAGAAGCAACAGATACAGAAAAATTCTCGAATGTCTATATGTCTGCATGACGCGTGTGCACATGAGGGGGAGTCGGATTCTACAGGGATTCAGAATTCAGAATATCTAAAACAGCTGCCCACCCCATTCAGCTACACAGAGAGGTTTTGTTCTTTCAAAGCTCACAGGAATTCATGCTGTGCTCTAAACCACAGCGACAAGTCTAAGCTAGATGCAGTTTGTGCAAGTTGAGAGCATTTACAGAAAAGATTTAGGTGACTGTTGACTTTACAAATGTCATATTTCTGTCTCTCCTGCTCTTTAGGATGTTCTGGAAATTGGCCTTGCCAGCCATTCTGGCTTGGACACTCTGTGCATCCACAGAAACCAAGAAGCCACGCCCACGAGGCTCTATCCCCTCCCCTTACAAGCTGAAAGGCAACGAGCTGTCGTCCTCGCCTTCTATCCCGCTGTCGTCGTTGTCGCAGCAGCCGCTGGCGCGACGGCAGAAAGGTAAGCAGGAGGTGCTGTCATCGAGTCGAGAGGCGCTGGTGGTGACTGAGAGGAAGTACCTGAAGAGTGACTGGTGCAAGACGCAGCCGCTCCGACAGACGGTCAGCCTAGATGGCTGTCTGAGCAGGACCGTCGTTAACCGATTCTGCTACGGCCAGTGTAACTCGTTTTACATCCCCCGGCACCTCACGTCCCGCTCCCGCTCTCCGGCGCACCGTAGCCGGAAAACGGATGACCGTGACAACTCTTTCCAGTCATGCGCCTTCTGCCGGCCGCATCGGATCACCACGGTAACGGTGCGCCTCCACTGCCCCAGGCTACAGCCACCATACCGGCACCGGAAGGTGCAGCGGGTGAAGCAGTGCAGGTGCGTGTCTGTCAGTGTCAATGATGCCTACTGACCAAGGGTCATGTGACCATGGGCAGAGACGGCTGGAGTTGCTCACTTTTGGACTAATTTCAACACAACATGACTGTGCACTGCACAACAAGGTCGAAAGTACTTGTCAGAGTGCCATCAAGTACTGAGATGAAATGTCATCTTTAGCTGAAAACTGGACAAAAGAAGAGTGGACAACCTGGGAATATTTAAAGTTTGACCTCTTTATATGTGAAAGTCTGTAAGCACCTCGTGTTGTGGACTGTTTGGGCTGAATGCTGAGCCGCCTTCCACAAGGAAATCTATGAGTTATTCATCTAGGGCCACACCAGCCTCAGTGAACTTGGACCAAAGTTATAGCTTGGTTGCCTAAACAAAAGGACTTGTGAGACGTATTTGGAGGTCACAGTTTGGCAAAATCCAGAGGCCAGAAGAGAGGAGACTAGATCCTACCCACTCTAGCATTGGCGTCTTGAATTGATGCAACATATATGAGTCTTTGGGGCCTCATTGCCAACATTGGATATGAGAAGACTGGACGTGTGTACCAGACTAGCCCCACTATTACAGTGATCTATAGACATCTATAATAAATGACAACATTTGTTAGAAAAATAGCAATAAAGATACATGGTACAGATTTTTATGGTATCTACTTTTTTAAAATGTATGAATGCAAAATACAAATAAATATGATTTTTATGTAATAAATATATTAATTTTACCTTAAGCTAAAGTGTTTCAACATATGTTTCTGAAAACTAACAACTTCAAAAAATAAATGTTTTCTGAAAAAAAATTTCCTTTAAGTTCCTTTAAAATTGCACAGGAAGCCTGGAACACAGCACTGAACTGGTTAACATCCACCTGTACTGCTAAATCATATCTCACTCAGTCTTATATTGACTCTGTATCACTGCACTCTGACACTGTTTCATTATTTAACATGATGCACCGGTACAGTCTGCCTAAAAGTGTTTGTGGATGCCAGTGGAAGCTCATCCCATAGAACCCTACAGAAGCTTATCCCATAGAACCCTATTAAACACACCCCATGAAACCTTTCTAAAGCTTGGCCCATAGAACCCTACTGAAGCTCTTCCCATAGAACCCTACTGATGCTCATCTCATAGAACCCTACTCAAGCTCAGCCCATAGAGTCCCTGCTAAAGCATGTCCCACAGATCCATACTAAAGCTCATCACATAGAACCCTAGTGAAGCTCATCCCATAGAACCCTACTGAAGCTCATCCTATAGAACAATACTAAAGCTTTGTCCCTACAGAACCATTCTGAAGCTCACCTCATGCAGAACACTATTGAAGCTCACCTCATAGAACCCTACTGAACCTCATCCCATAGGACCCTACTGAAGCTAATCCTACAGAACCCTACTGAAGCTCGTCCCTTAGAACCTTATTGAAGCTTGTCCCATAGAACCCTACTGAAGCTCATCCTACAGAACCCTACTGAAGCTCGTCCCATAGAACCCTACTGAAGCTTGTCCCATAGAACCCTACTGAAGCTCGTCCCATAGAACCCTACTGAAGCTTGTCCCCTAGAACCCTACTGAAGCTCGTCCCATAGAACGCTACTGAAGCTCATCCTACAGAACCCTACTGAAGCCCGTCCTACTTCGAAGCCACGAACCCATGACCCGTCCCATAGAACCCTTCTGAAGCTCATCCTACAGAACCCTACTGAAGCTCGTCCCCTAGAACCCTAGTGAAGCTCATCCTACAAAACGCTACTGAAGCTCGTCCCATAGCACCCTACTGAAGCTCATTTCATAGAACCCTAATGAGGCTCATCCTATAGAACTCTGCTTTATGGTGGTCAAATCTCAAGGCAAAAAACCTGATTAAATGAGTAAAAATTTTTTTACTCACTTTTACTCATTTAATGACTCATTTAATGGTGCAGAGTTGATAATATTTAAATCTACATTTTATTTTATAAGTTATTACTGAATATCAAGTAATATCGTCTTAATATGGGTTCTAAACTGTTTTGAACTGTAGTTCAAATATTTAAATATATACAATATTTTTCTTTTTTTTTTTCATTAAATTTTTCCAACTGTGCTTCCACTCTGTCAGCTGCCACTGATGCTGTAATGGATACAAATGAACAAACTCACATATGTGTGAACTTTCACAATGCAGAGGAATAACACACAAACAGAAGTATGGCTAATTTAATAACCTTTAACTGTTTACTTTAAAAATAAAGAACGTTTTTAATGTAAGTTTTTTTAATTGAAAAAATACCATTGTACACAATTTCATGACATCAAGAAGTCTGACAATCTTTTACAGTTAATGGAAAACTAAGCTTAACAGTTTCCTTGCTGATAAAATAATTTCTCATCATATTAAACTCAATAAAAAGACAGAGACACAAACCGACGAGCATGAAATATCACCACGTTACATGATGTCCTGCAGTACAAGGGAGTAGTATGTATTGAGATACAGTCTTTCTCTCACTAAGGGATGTATTCAGACTGCTCCTTGCAAAAACTAGCAAACGTAAGTTTTGAAAGAAACGTTTTGTTACAGAGTGTCAAACACTAACCGTATGTACACTACGGTTCAAACAGTTTACAATTACGCACCATGTTAACAATGTTTGTTCATTTCTATACAGGGCTAAACGCACTCTGTCGCAGGGGGTGCTGGAGCCTATCCCAGCACTTGCTGGACGGAAGCCAGGAAACACCTTGGACAGGTTATAGGGCTGAATGATTTGGGCAAAATATCTAATTGCAATGTTTCTGGCCAATATTGCAATTCCGATTTAAATTGTCATTTTTCTTCTTTTTTTTGTTTAGAATTGTAGTTTACTTTAAATTGGGGCCTTTTTTTCAGCTAAGAAGACCAGCATATACTTTTTCTGGCTTGAGGCTTGAATGCTCAACACAGTGTATCACCCAGCTGTGATGTCACAGCACATGCATGTTTGGTTGCTTCTGATTAGTCAAATTCATCTAAAAAGCAGTTCACAAGCTCCATGTTATTAGGTTAGATTCCCTTCTTGAAACTTGCAATATGTCAATGTTGTTGATAATAGACCACGAGACAAAACAAAAAGTGCAGCTCTCATATTGTGACTTCAATATAAAAATGATTAATCTGGATTAATCAATGTGGATTTAAATCATACAATCTAAAGGAATTTTGGGTGTTTTATTCAATATTGTAAACCAAAAATAAATAAAATGGTCAGTAAAATACTCTAAATATCTGTTTTCTGCCTTGAGATTTGATCTCCACTTTTGAAATATATTATTAAACAATTACTTGTTCTAACTTGTTCCACAGCTTTCTCAGTCATAGTAGAGTCTTCTCCATCTGTGTTCATCATTCTGGACTTACTGCTTTCTTCTAATTAGTTGAAACCTGTGTGGTTGCACTCAACGTAAAAATGCTATGTATACAAAAGTTATAATACCCCTCATCAAATAATGTTTTGCTGATTTTCTACTGAGAACACACTTAAATATGGTATTTTTCTGCTAATTTCACTTCACGATGTCTATCTTTTTGCTGAATTTAACATGAAAAAAATCGAATGTAAAATGTGCCATAACTTTTGCACAGGCCATATTTAACGTTATTTTCTTCCAATATGTTAAATTTAGCAAATAAACAGTGTGTATTAAAATGTGCAGGGTGTTCACTTATTTTCACTTAGAAACAACAAAACATGTGACCGAACTTTTGCATACGACTGTACAGTACCAATAGCAGTGCCGCTTTTAGTGGAACTTTGAAGTCCTTGAAGAACCATATACAACATGTGCTTATTTATAGAACCATGGCAACTTAAAGAACCATGAATGCCATGGTTCTATAAATAACCACTGCTTTTTCTAAATCCCTCAATCATTTTATATACTTGTTTTACATTCCTGAAAACATTGATTACAAACTTGAACGGTAGAGTAAATGATTAAAATTAAATATGATTTTCAATAGCAGCTAATTTTGGCTTTTCATTCTCCAGTACAGACTGAGACGACCAACTGATCGATTTACTAGTTTACTAGCCATATTTCTTCATTTTGAAAGCTGTGAGTAAACTGAGTAAGGATGTACTTGCTTATTTAAATACAAAAGTTGGAAGGTTCACTGCAAATTTTGATCCATATTATATTCCTATTCATAATCTATATTGTATATTGTATTTTGTGTAATCGATGACGGCAGTGAAGGTGCTTTTTAAGGCGTTCGTAATCAAGCCAGACAGCTTCCATTACAGTTTCCATGGTGAGCAGTTAGGTCTCATTGTTTTAAAGTAAATTTGTCCCAAAGTCTGAAAATCAGTGCAGAGCACTAAGAATTGTCACTACCTGAACATGTTTTCTACAATTAAGTACATTTTTTGTGTTTTAATGAATAATATGATAATTTTATGTGTGCACAGCTGTTCAAAGCTGTGTTTATTAGTCATGCACTAGCCAGGGTTTTTGAGATCTTCTCAAAATTAGCTCAAATTGTCTCTACCGAAACAGTCATTTCCAAAACATTTGGTAAAGTCTGATTGTTTGTTAATGATAGAATGGAATGTTCAATCATTTGTTTTAATAAGATAAACATATTTAAGGTGTAGGGTCACTCAAAGCTTAAGGATTTTAGTCTCAAGTCCAAATTAGGTAAAAGTTTGAGATGTGTTTTCAACTCTGACTTTTTCATCAGAAATGAAAAAGGATCTGTTTGCTGTTTCTGCAGAAACAATCAAAAGTACTTTGCCGTTAGTGATGCACCAAAATGGAAAATTCCTGACCACAAAATTCAGGACCGAAAACTGAAAGAAATAGGCAATAATTGCAATGTTGGGAAAGAGAACTGAAACAGCTTGCAAAATATTAAATACTACAGTTATGATAATATTATATTTACTGGATCTCGATGGCCATGCCTCTGCTATGACCATGGACAACACCTTGTTTTTTTAATATGTAAAGCAAGTGGGCGTGGCTTCGGAGCTTTCACCTAGCAGTCTTGCGCTTCTCCAGCAGGTGGCGCTGTTAGCACGCAAGTCGCTTTAGCTTCATTTAGAGAGGAAACAGTCAGAAACCCACACTAGCAGGATCTAACCAAAGCACGTATTTTGTAATAACAATTTAAAAACGAGAGTTACCACAGATTTTAGTTACTCAATATTATTTATGTGATTTCCATTAAATTTTGTTTTGTCAATCAAGGCTAAAAGCATGGAAGCTAAAGAGCGTACAGAACTCAGGCCTAAGCTACAGTGTTTGTGTTTCACTGTTGATCTGCTGCTGCTCAAACTGTTGGAATGCATCTTTGTTGACCAGAAAACAAGCGTTTTTTTTTATTGCTATTTATAATTTATTACCATTACATTATTTGTTTGATTCTGATGCTTCATTGTATTTGATACTTTTTACTCAGCAAAAATTTCCAAAAGTGTCACTTCTGACCAGTTTTGGCTGGAAATGTTTTGGTGAGCGAAATTTCGGTGCATCCCTAACTGCAATGTGAACTGCCATCCACTTTCTCAGGTTCAGTTAAAACACCGGTACAATGAGTTCAGACATAAAAAAAGGTTTGAGAAGAGTCCACTGCTACTTCAGCAGATATAAAACAGTCGTTCTGATTGTGATGGACATTACATTGTGCATGAGCCAGAGTCCTGAATGGCCACCACACTCCTCCACATGGCCATGCTTCACATCTTCTGCCCCAGTTTGGCTTTCTGTCAAACAACGAGAGAGAATGCGATGCATTATTTGTAATTAGTAACAGAGAGAACAGAGCTGACCAGACGTCTTCTGTAATGATCAACTAATTCATCCAAGTCTCTAGTATTATCTGAGATCAAAGTAAAGAGCTGAACTGCACAAACACATGGCATCCTCACACAACAGCGAAGAACGTATAAAATTCACACTGTCAACAACTTCAGCACTGCACAAATAAACACCGGTGCATCCTGCAGTGAGTGAACCCGACATTTTCTCTAATTCATTTTCTGTTAAGTCTAAAGGCTGTTCGGTTGTGTCTGGGCCTGTTTGTCCACTAATTCACTAAGTAGTGTGCACTTTTATAGGAACTATTTCTTACTATTAGCTCACTGAAATAAGAGAGTAAATTGTGTGGAAAGATTCTAAACTACCTAAACTACCATATTTCTATTTGTAAACACTGATATTTTTGTTATTTTAAAAGTTGAAGGAGAACTCCAGTGATTTTTCAAAATTTCAAAAATTAAATAATTAGTGTCAACAGAGTCATTCAGAGTGGTTTGATCTGAAATGCTCTGTTCTAGACAAACTTGCCAAGACATTTTTTTCACAGTGGTGGTGATAGGAACCAGGCCTCCACCTCTAAAAGCTCCCTCACAGAAAGTTATCACATGGAATGGTTATGAATACACTGTAATTTTGTGATAAAATTTTTGGTCTAAAATGTATTTCAATCAATTCATTGTGGAAGGATACAAGAAGGGTGCTCTAGGGCAAAATAGTCCCCTAATAGAACTTATTTTTTTTAAGATTCGTGACAATTTTACCATCATCAACATTCCATATAAAAGGCAGAAGACACGTGTAAATTTACTGGTGGTTTTGGATAGTAAATAAAATGGCTGTACTTGTGTTGTAGACATTGTGACCCCTGGTTCCCATCACCACCACTGTAAAGAAATCTGGTTAGTACGTTTCTCTGCAAATGAATCATTTCACATCAAACCAATCTGAATGAATCTGTTTCCATCTCAACCACTGGATTATGCAGAATTTTTAAAAAATCGGTGGAATTCCCCTTTAGTGTTAATGTGAATAGTTTGGGGGTTGGAACATCATTCTGACATCAAAAAAAATAAAAAAAATCTGGAACACTAACCTGTCCTTAATGATTTAACTATGTAATTCACTGTAATTATATTATTTTTACACAGTACTGCAAAATGATAACCAAAACACTGAATACTAAACAAAAGGTATTAAGGATGTTTGAAAGCAACTCACTATTCCAGAAGCGTGCTTGGGTTTGACGCTGTAGGCGGATTTCTCTCTGGCCTGTTTGATTGTTTCCTCTGCAGCTTTCAGCCTGAAACAGCAACAACAATTCAGCGTTTACTTTGAGAATGTACACAACAGCAGTGACATGGCTCTCTTACTGTAAGCTTGGACTGGCAACAGCACAGGTTAGTATTTCCCCTCATGCAACTAGTTCAGTGGTAATATGAGAGTGAGGAACTGAAGTGTGGGACAACACAGATCCTTAGAGTTTACGGGTTGAAAGAAACACACAATGAATCTCTTTTGGTCCAAACACCTAAACATTTGGGTGCTTATGAGTGCTGACATCACAACAAGAGGAGACAACAGGCAGCTTGATTCCCAAATTAGCACCAAACATACTGTTATTAATATTTACGCGCATGATAATGTTTTCTTGAAAATAAGCCTGCTTAGTCTTTGACATGTTAAATTATGGCAAACCAACAAAGAAAACATGCTCATTTATATGAAAATATTTTGAACAGGTAGATGTCACTAGTGGCCCTTTCATCAGGAGATCATGAGTTTGTTCCCCAGTGATGTCACAGCTATCCATGTCCAGAAGCCCAAGAGAACATAACTGTCCTCTCTCTCCCTCTGGGTGAGTAGGATGGTCCTCCTTCTCCCCCCATCACACAGCGTGACACTAGACAACATGGACATCTGTTAGCTGACATAACAGAATTAGCAGTTAGTGTTCTCCTCCATGCGTGTTGAGCTGCCCAGCAATGCTGTGTTAGCAGCCGTTTGAAAAGATGTGGTGGAGCTTTATGTGTCTCAAAGCAGACATGCTACCCTTCACTTTCCCAGTTTGGTAGCTGGTCTGATTGGGGAGAGACCCAGCTAACAGGTGGAACTGGACACGACTAAATGGGGAGAAAATGAGGGGATAAAATTCCCAAAAAACACACTGATACAAAATACACTGCATCACAGTGTTGTTTACTGTGTGCTGCAAGCATTCTGACCAATCAGAGCTCCAGATGAGGGTTTCTGTGGGTGCTGTGATCCAACCAGGGCTGGGTGATAAAACAATAAAAATAATTATCGCAATATAACTTTCCTTGCTAGAAATGTTTCGATAAGTGTTTGATATACTGGAACATTCTCACACTTCCATGTTCTAGTGACAGCCCTGGTGGCATTTTCTGCAGCAAGGAAGCGACACTACTCTGCTGTCGCCAGGAGAGGGCGCACTTCTGATTTTTCTGATTTGAAAAAACAATGATGTGACTTTTATCGTGATAATTATCGATATCGACCGATATTAAATTTTTTATCGTCATAACATTTTTGGTCATATCGCCCAGCCAAATCCAAGCCAAACTCACGCGCTGTTTTCAAACTATTTGTAATGTTTAGTGCAAAGCAGAGAGAGAGAGAATCTGACCGTTCCTTCAGCAGAAGTTTATTCTCCCTCTTCCACAGGTCTTTAAAGTCGGTGGAGAACTCGTGCCACAGGGAGAATAAGGTGTTTGGAGAGACCTCCTTCTCCCCCTGCCTTAGGCTTCACTGAGAAAAACAAGCTCAGCTCCACAAAGCTGCAAAATATGGAAAGAAGCAAATATAATGTTAGGAGCAAAACACTGAAAAAGCAGATCTGAGCTTTATTCACAGGGATTGTGAAACTGACTGGCTGACTCGAAGCATGTGGGACACGAAATTTTAGCCCGTAAAAATAAAGGCCTTATATAAGGCATGACAGCGGCCTTCTCTCTGCCTCTCAGCGAGCTGTGGGTGTGCGCATGTTTCGTAATGTGAAGAGACAGTGTACAGAACAACATCTCAGAACAGGAACACTGCATACATGGGAATTAATAGACATGTCATATTTATCTTATTTTATTCCTTGCCTTTAAAGGAGATGTTACTATCAGGCAGCACTGTGTACTCATACGCTCTCACTCACGGCCAAGACACAGAGAGCTACACAAACAAAATCAGCAGTGTATATTAATCAAAAACATTCAGCAGTGTGTTGAACTGACCTTGATAATTAAAAATGTTCTAAATATTTTATTTAGTGTTTTTTTTTATTATTTTGAAGTATACAGTACTGTGCAAAAGTCAGATTTATGTGATTTCAGAGTTTCAGCACCAGGAAAAAAGCAGAAAACATATTTAACAGAAGATTACACAGAGGACTAAATACACAGATCTGCAACCTCCTTGTTTCTACACTCATTGTCCATTTTATCAGCTCCACTGACCACATAGTTTCAGTTTGTAGTTCTACAGTTACAGACTGTAGTCCATCTGTTTCTCTGTGTACTTTGTTAACCTGTTCTTCAGTGGTCAGGAACCCCACAGGACCCTCACAGAGCAGGTACTATTTGGGTGGTGGATCATTCTCAGCACTGCAGTAACACTGATGTGGTGGTGGTGTGTTAGTGTGTGTTGCGCTGGTCTGAGTGGATCAGACACAGCAGTGCTGCTGGAGTTTTTAAACACCTCAGTGTCACTGCTGGACTGAGAATAGTCCACCAACCAAAAATATCCAGCCAACGGTGTCCTGTGGGCAGCATCCTGTGACCACTGATGAAGGACTAGAGGATGACCAGTACAAACTGTGCAGCAGCAGATGAGCTATCGTCTCTGACTTTACATCTACAAGGTGGACCAACACTTACAGTGAAAGTAAAGAATGTTTTTGCCCTCTCCTGTAAAGTTACTATTTTGGAGATACTTGTTTTTTATTGGACAACGACGATATATATATATATATATAATGTGTGTGTGTATTTCATATGTATTTGTTTATTATAGGATATATTCTTGTATAGGAACATATAAATTATCATGCACACACTCATTTTCAGAGTTCTTACCTCTTCTGAGTGTCCGCCAGATGTTTTTCCTGGTCCTCCAGTTCAGTTCTGGCTGAGAGACAGAGAGAACAACTCAGCACAGCACACATAACAAACAGATAATAAATGAATGAAACAATACAGTCAACCAAACCTGCTGCGTCTGATAGTCTTATTATCCATATGTTATAATACAATGGTGGTGACGTTACAACATTGTATACAAATTTTGACAAATGGAGGAAGAGACTTATTTAGCACAAGAAAAAACAAGGGATTGTGAATCCATGTCGACAAAGAAGCAAAAACTTGAACAGGCGACGGCAGAAAACCTGACGACCACTGTAGGTTCTACTACACACTTGGAAAGGGAGGGGTGAGGGAGGGGGATTCAGTTGCTTGCAATCTGCAACCTCACTACTAGATGCCACTAAACCTTACACACTGCATCTTTAAGCGATAGGACTGAGGAATGGAAGCCTGCAAAGACCTTAGCTATTAAAGTATATTAACTGCAAATTAGCTATCTGCCTGCTGATTGCTTGCATTCTTCTACAGCAAACTATTTTCTGGTAGTGTTTTAGTCAGTTTATCAGTTTATAGTGAATCATTACACCAGTTACTAGAGAAAATCCCATCTCACCTACTGTTACAACACCACAGCTCCAGCCAGATACTAGCCAGTATGCTGGTTGCTAGGCTTATAAACTCAAGCCAGTCAGTTTGGGCTGGGGCTGGCAACGTCTCCACAAGCGCCAAACAGATTATCGCTGCGGTTGTGTGTGTCCCGGGGCGTAACACCCCATCAGAGGGCTAGCGGGCAGGAGAATTAGCAACAAAAGACGGCGGAATGACCATAGACCAAACAGCACAGCACCACAGAGCCAGTCTCTCTCTAACTCTCTCTCTCTCTTCCCTTGTCTCTTCCTCTCTCTTTCTCCTTGTGGTTTGTTTCAACCTTTGCAAAATAAACAGTTGTTGTGGAGTCAGTGGTAGCTTGAGACTGCGAGACCCCTGGAGTTTCACAATCACACATGAAACACCAAAAAATAAGACATTACTCTATTGTGTTTTTCCATCCATCTATCCCTATGTATGTCTCTGCTAACTGAAAGCAGGGCTGAGAGGGAGGGGGGGCTCGTCCTGGAATAACTGGACTGACGGCTCGGGACCCAAAGGAACCCCCTAGAGCTTCTGGATCAAAGGAACGGGGCAACATGAGGAAAAGACCCCACCTAGATACCCCAACTGAGGAAGCACATGTGGGTATGGTTATGAAGAAATGAATACAGAAGCACAGCGAGAAGGAGGGCAGTCGTGGATTAAAACAATATTTTGGTGAAAAAATATCTAATTTACAGTTTTCAACGTTAAACAAATGTAGTGTGTAATAAACACACAAGAGGCTGCATGTTACCTTGATTTTATCACGGGAAGGGTGTTTCTGAAGAGGAGTGCCTAAAACTCCCTTCCTGTGATAAAATCACAGTAACGCACAGTTGATAAAATATGATAAAATACATGATTTTTCAGAAAATAATTAACATTATTATTAATAATAATCAAATAAACAAGTATTCCACCAAGAAATGTAGTTCGTTTAGAGTACAGTATCGTTGCCAAGCAACCATTGACCGCTGAATGAGGAGAATGTTCTGTCGCCATTTTATGAATTTTTTAAAAAATTCGTCATATAACAATGAACATATGATAATACAGCACTGTTTAATGCAAAAATCTTCGCTTTATAAGTACTTTTTGGTCACCAAATTACCTCTGTAGGTTTTATTCGGCACCAATCCAGTGGCACCCTCTTCTCACACTGGGGCTGAATCTCAAATAGCTCCCTGCTCCCTACATAGTGCACTACTTAGGAATTTAAATACTGGATCCTGCACCACAACAGTGCAAAATACAGTTTAAGAAGTAGTCATTTAGGACTCATCCTCATCCACAACAGCTTCGAACACGCCTCAGCCAATCAGATTTTAGGACCGGAGCTATCCATTTTATATGTTCCTGACGCTTAAAAATAAAAAAATTAACCTTAATGGCCATCTTGACTTAAAATTAGGTAAATGAAGGGCGCGATAGTGCACATATATTTAAGAGGCTACTTATTACATTTATTAGTATGTTTGATATTTATTCCTGAATGTGGTTTTCTTATATATCAGTGCTCTATTAGGAGATTTCCACAGATACTATATCTGCTGAACCTTAATACCAACTGACTTTAGTGGCCAAATGCTTAGTCAGGCCGTAGTGTGTGAGCCCAACACAGATCATGTGCTTAGGTACACGGCTATTCATCATGTAGTCATAATAAGCTCCTCTCTTTTGCGTGAGTGGCTTTATGTATTGTATGTGCGTCTCAGTATATAAGCCGTGTGCGTCCATGTTTGGTTTGCATCTCTTACCCCGAGTAAGGAACTGCTCCATTTTGTCTTTAAACGGCTGCAGATGTTCCTCTGAGGACGCAGCACACACCTTCACCGTCTCAGACGAGCAGGCTGCAGGAACAGGACATGAAGTTAAAATGAACATTACCTCAAAGTAGACTAGAACAGTATACACTAGAACTGGAGATATTAGTTCATAACAGCCTCAATACACACCCCTATATGCTAGAATAGAAGATTACTCCATAACATTCATCCATAAACAGATTAGTCTATAATATTAGTCCATAAACAACTTCAATAAATTCTATGTGCTACAACAACATATCTTAGCCCATTTATAAGCATTCATATATGCTAGAATATATCAGTCTATAAAAAACTCTAATTACACTGTTATACACTAGAACAGAATATATTAGTCCATAACAGCCATAATAAGCAGGAAATAGGAAATATAAGTCCATAAATGACCTCAAAAATACTCCTATATGCTACAATAGGAGATATTAGTCCATAAAGAACCTCAATAAATACGGGTATACCTTTAAATATCATATAATGGGCCATGAACAACTTCAAAATACACCCCTATAAACTACAACAGGATATATTAGCCTAACAATCTCAATAAAAACTTCCTTACACTACAATAGGTGACCTATTGCACAACCTCAATAAACACCCCTATACACTAGAATAGTAGATATTAGTCCATAAACTACTTCAATAGACACCTCTATACATTAGGAGATGTTAGACCATAAATAGCTTTTTTATGTAATAAACTTTTATAATTTTTTATAAACAATACATTTTTTCTTTAGAGGTTGTGGCAGAACAAAGGACGCTCAACAAGCTGTTAGCCATCTTGGACAACACCTCACACCCCCTGCATGCTACACCGGATAAACAGAGAAGCACAGTGGCCGACTGTTACAGCTGCGCTGTGTTAAAGAGCGCCGTGTGAGATCTTTCTTACCCACTGCTATACGGCTCTATAACCAGTCTCCCGACTTCAGAGATGGTACTGATCTCCTGCTGTCAGAACTGAGCTGAACCACATCACTATATCACCTCTCAGATTAATACACACTGTGCAATATATCATAATTGCTACTGTGATGACTCTCTGCGCACTTTACACTGTAATGCTATGTCCATACTCATTGTGCTTTTAGACCTCATACCATTCAGTACCTGCTATCATGTAAATACAACAAATCTGTCTTATATGCTATGTAAATATGCAAATATAGATACTTTTATTTCTACTCTTATACTTATGTCTAGTTTTATTTCTATTTTTTATTTTCTGCATAGTCCTGTCTATCTGTCTGTCTGTCTGTCTGTCTATCTGAACAACCCTTTACACAAGAATAGGAGATATGAGTCCATAAACGACCTCAATAAACACCTCTATACACCAGAATAGGATATATTAGTCCACAAACAACCTCAATACACATCCCCATACACCACAATAAGAAACGTTAGTCCATAAACGACCTGAATAAAAGCTCATATAAAAGCTCATATAGTAGGAGACATTAGTCCCTAAACAGCAGCAAACTGACAGTTTTTTCTACAGATTTACATGGTTTGATAAGACAAGGAAAACGGACAAACTTTCTGATTAGCCCAACATTTCTCATTGTTCCTCATTGGGACGGTAGTGCTTTGGAGTGCTTAGTACTCAGACAAACTATGAATGTTACATCCAAGTGCATCTCCCTAATCATTCAGAGGTTAAACCAGTGACAACCCCCGCCAACCCACCCTCATTTCTCATTTCTCATTCCTCATTTCTCATCTCACAGAGCAGGGTTGCTCTACAGACATTGTGCAATTGTGTCCGGTCAGTCCGACAGGGTTAAACTGAAAGGCAAAAGACATTTGGGAAAAAAACATTTCAGCAATGCTGTTTTAGCAGAGGCCTTCCAGCTCTGCTAAACCATCAACATGCTAACCAGCGCTAACAAATCCTGTTGCCGTTTCCTCCCGCCGTCTTGCTGAGTGATGCATGCGCTCTATGGAGCTCCTGAGACGTCGGCTCACTCCCATCACTGCTCATGATGAATAAGGACCTGGCATGCCAGCGCAGCGCACATGCTAATCTCTTCGCCACATGCTAATCTCTTGTGAGCATGTTTCAGTATGCTAACCCGGAGCCCAGTGGGGGTTAAGGCCGGCTGGCCTACCTGCTCTACTAACCCCCCCGCCACTGTCAAAGCTGCTAACATCTGCTTTAGCACTTAGCTCTGCATGCTAACCCCCCAGGTGATGATTCATTCACTGTATGGACCCCTGGCGTAGTCGGCTGCTTGAAGAGCAAAGCCATGCGCGTGGTCCCGTGGGGAGTCTGAGAGCTTTCAGCGGTTTGAATTGTGAGTAGTTTGAGAAATAAAGCACTTTGCTGGAGAAGCTAACGTTCGTTTGCACAAAGAAAACCGAGGCTTGATCGGTTTAGCAGGTAAATCGAAAGCGATTTTGGTCGGTTTATATTCATGGTTTTCAGCCTTTATTCACTTTGAAAGCTGGACCTTTTTGACGGCTCTTGTGATTCATATAACAGCAAGTGGTGTTCAAATGCAAATGTGTGTTCAGCTGTCTTAATTCCAAAGCAAACTATAGGTCCAATGAAACCCCACTCAGAAAATTTACTTGTCTGGGCTTAACATGAGTCTTTTGCCTGCTTTCATAAAACATCTTTAGTCCTTATCCCTTAAGAAAATCCATAAGGATGTATATAAACCCTTAAGCTCTCCCTTTGGTCTTTTCTCAAACAGTTTCCTTTAGATCTGCTACCAAACGGAGCACTACTTGGATTTTTCAGAGGATGGCAGACAGGATGATGTTAACCAGTTCTACACTGGGAAATTAGAGCTTTATTTATTTAGCTTAGCTAAGAGTCCCAGGGAGCACAGTAAACAAGATAGAAATATGCTAAAACTTAAAAAATGCTGACCAGACATTTCTGAGAACCGTCTGGGCGTGGTCCTAAAATTCGAATGAGCTATTCACTTTACTGCTGGATGTACATCCAGGAATTGTACACACACAGCATGTTAACCTGGACAAATAGAAGAAGGAAACAACAAACAAACATAAACAGACAGACAGATGAGGTAGCTTGCTAGCTCTGTTATGCTTGCGATGCTGGCTTTTGCTTGGTTGTTAGCCTGCCCACAGATTGGTTGAGTTTGTGTTGGTGGGACAAACCATGTCAGCCTTGTGATTGGTGAAGGTAAAGCACCAGCCCAGTGCCAGAGTGGATAATCAGGAGAGTCAGGAGAATTCTGAGTGGGACGGTAGTGCTTTGGAACACTCAGACAAACTATGAATGTTACATCCAAGTGCATCTCCGTAATCATTCAGAGGTTAAATCAGTGACAAATTTAAATATGAAGCTAACATCAGCCTAGAGAGATTAGCATATCAAATTCAGCTTGACGATGTGAATCTGATACTGGCTGACACAAGACACAACAGCCAGCTCTACAGAGTCCATTACTTTTTTTGGCATTATCATTTGGCATTTTGTAGCAGTTTTCATACGTGAATCATGTAAAGACAGACGGCAGCAGCAACGTGGCACCAAAAAGACAAGAATGATAAAGCTACTCAAGCAGGATGAGGACATATCCGAGCAGGTGGGCAGTGAGAAATGCTGATCTAGCTAGCATTGGTTTGTCGCATATAGACTTCCATGATTATGTCACATTTAAAATAAAAGCTTTTACCTGTTCTCATTTTCATCACTAGCTAGCCACCTTGGCTATCTAAATGTAGCACATAAATAATGCAATAATATAACCTGAGGTTATTTCTATGGTTTGCTTTATAGCACAAGATTAATATAACGTGATTACCCGACCAACATTCTGGAAGTGCATGGCTGCTTCTTTACTTTGTATGGACTAAGCAGCGGCACATGCACCACTTATGTCATTTCAAACTCCGAGAATAGAGAAGAATGAAAAAACTGTCTTGTTAATGGTTGTAAACGGTGAGATTCATTAAAACAAGCAGGTCTCTGGCTTGGACACAAACAAGCAATCAGCCACATTCACCACAACCACTGAATTATGCTAATTAGGGCTTAACAAGAAATAATTTGATCCATCTTTCCAGCTGAGGCTAATTAAAGAGAAAGCACCGGGGGTTGTTTCAGAACAGAGGGCGATGAAAAAAGCTGGAGAGTGAAATGTTTGAGAGCTGTTGTTGTGGTGTGCTACAGATCAGCGTGCTCTTGTTTGTTTGTTTCAATGTTTTGTTTGTTCTAACGCTAGAGGCTGCGGACAAGCTGTGGATCATGCGGTGCTGATCACTACAAGCACCAGCCTGTGACCCAATAAAAACTCTCAATAGAAGATCAATGTCTTCATGGGCTTGTGGGAATGTGGTGCCAATGAGTGCAAAAATGTAGCTCAGTGCAGGCCAGTCAGAGTGAAGCACCGTGGTAAGTCTTGCTAATTAGTTGAGAATTGAAATAGATGTATTAGAGCTGGGAAAACCAGCCCTCCCGGACTAGAGTGTGAATCCCCGTAAAAGTGATGATGGTACAGTCACGTCATATTTCACACTTGCAAAGTTGTTAGTGACCTGTCCATCTTCTGCCTATAAATCATTCTTTTATAGCTACCGAAGTACCAAGTCACACAGCGCTGGCAAAAAAATCCAACTGTAGCACACCTTTTTATGTTTTTGTTAATATAAAGAAAAGAGGAATTGCGAGTCCCACAGAGGCATCCTTGTCACCTTGGAGAACTGAAAATGGTTTGCGGAGAGGAATGCACCAAAATTGAACCACAGTGCTGCAAAACGCAAGTTACTTCTTACCGTGGGCATCTCCAGGCAGTAACTCCCAAAAACTGTCGCTGTTTGTGCTTATGAACACGTACGTTTTGTTCATAATTATAAGAACAAAGTCAAAAGATATATGCACTGAAACTACACCAATGAGCAAAATTTAATGACCAATGGTTGGTCCTCCACATGACGCCAAAACAGACTGACCCACCAAAGCATGGACTCTACAAGACCTCTGAAGGCAGCAGATCCTTAATGTCCTGCAAGTTACAAGGTGGAGTCACTGTGGTTCAGCCTTCTTGTTCCAGCACATCCCACGGAATCTGGAGGCCAGAACAACACCTTGGAATCTTCATCATGTTCCTCAAACTGTTTTTGAATGATCTGTTCAGTGTGGCAGGACACATTATCCTGCTAAAAGAGGCCACTGCCTTCAGGGAATAGCATTGTTCCGCAGTGATGTTTAGGTAGGCGGCATGTGTCAAATTGACATCTACATGGATGCCTGGATGCTGGGTTTCCCAGCAGAACATTGCCTAGAGCATCACACTTCCTCCACTGGCTTGTCCTCTTCCCACAGTGCATCCTGGTGCCATCACTTCCCCAGGTAAATGGAGCATGCATACCCAGCTATCCATGTGGTGCAAAAGAAAATGGGATTCATCAGAGCAAGCGACCTTCTTCTGTTGCTCCATGGTCCAGTTTGGATGCTTTTGTACCAATTGTGGGTGCTTTCGATGGTCTACAGAGGTCAGCTTGGACACTTGGACTGGTCTGCAGCAATGCAGCTCCATACACAGCAGGGTGTGCTGCACTGTGTTGTAACACGTTCCTCCTATAACCATTATCATTTCTGTGACTTGTGCCACAGTAGCCCTTCTGTTAGTTCAGACCAGGTGACATAACCTTCGTTGCCCTCGTTCAACGATGAGCCTTGGGTGCCCAACACCCTGTTGTCGGTTTGTGGTTTGTCCCTCCTTTGACCACTGTCAGTAAGCATTCACCACTGCTGACCGGCAGCATTCTACAAGCTGCTTGGAGTCTGGCAATCTGGCGTTAACGATTTGGCCCTTGTCAAAGTCACTCAGATCTTAATGTCTTTTTCTCACATCCAACACGTCGACTACAAGAACTTGAAGAACGTCGACTATCCCAGACCTGGACATACGCCACTGTTACGAGATAAACAACATTGTTCCTGTGTGTGTGTGTGTGTGTGTGTGTGTGTGTGTGTGTGTGTGACTCACCATTAAGGTCTTTACGTAGTTTGCGTAGATCTCTCTGAAAATCATCAAACTTCATTTGGGATGCCTGGAAAAGGTCCTGAGGCTCCGGGAGTGGATACACACAAGTCTCTCTACCTGCATCCTGACACACACACACACACACACACACACACACACACACACACACACACACACAAACCACAACCTTAAAGAAGAATTTCACTATATTTTGTTTATTATGTATAGTTCTCATTCAGACTGATGTGAAATTATAGAGCAATTTGCAGACTCAGCTGTCTTTACAGTGGTGGTGACGAGAACCAGGGGTCACAATGTCTACAACATATAGACATTTTATTTACTATCCAAAACCACCAGTGAACCTACACGTGTCTTCTAAGTTTTTATATGGAAGGTTGATGATGGTAGAATAGTGATAAATCTGAAAAAAAGTTTTCTTTTAGAACTCTCTAAATGTACCTCTCCACCATAAACTCTTAAAACAGGTTTTAGGACAAAACTCTAAATCAAGAAAGCAATGTCTCAGGCATCAGACAGCATTTTAGTAACCATTTAATGCTCTCTGAGGAGATTTTAGAGGCATTAAACACCTCAGATGCCTGGTTCCTATCACCACCACTGTAAACAATTCTGACTCTGTATGTTTCTCTAGAAAAGAATATTTCACATCAAAACACTCTGAATCACTTTGTTTACATCTTAACCATTTAATTATTTTAAAATTGCTGGAGTTGCTCTTTTACCTCCTCAACCAAAATGTAGCTTTTTTCTTTTTTTTTCTAATAAAAGCTGTAGCTTTGAGGAAAAACAGCCAAATGTTCCAACAGCGTCAAAACATTCATGTTTTCCATCATTCAGGGAACATTTGGTCCACACATATGCACACTAAACGCACACGCACACACACACACACACACACACATGTAAAATCACCTAAACAGACCAATTATATGAGGGACAGACTGTTTGGGGATATGAATGAGATCAAAATGAAAATCCACAAATTTTCCATCAATCTAATTTCCTCCATCTTCAAAATCAGGCCCTAATTAGATCCCATATGTATCGAGCAGAAAAACGTACTAATGCAGCATTTGAAAGCTCCTGCATATTCAGCCACAATCTTTTGGTTCAACGTTTAAAGGAGCCAAATCTAAGACAACCAAATCTCCTTTGAAATAAAAGAGTAAACATTGTTAAAGTTTAAAACAGTACTGTTTACACCCCAGTCCCTACAGTCCATATATGGAGACTAAGCTGCAAAAACAGCCTGTTTTGAATTCATCATGGTTATGATGTCACAACCATGAAAACAACATTTCAGCCCTGCCCATTCCTAATGAGGTTATGTTGCATGTTGTTACTTCCAACAGTCTGTAGCAGATTTACTGGAACTGAAGATGTGGAAAAATGATTAAACGTTGTGCTGTTCATGGCTGTCAGGAGGCAAATGGATCACTGCAGCGTTCCAAAAGATCCACACATCTGAAAAGAGCAGCTAACGTTTAATTTTTTTCAGTCTAATTTTTAACACTTCACTCTGGACAGCTTTTAGAATGAGGCACAATACAGGGCAGCCAATCAGAAGAGAGGTATTTTACATATATATTAATTAAATGTACAGATACAACAGACTGTTTAATTCTAAGGGAAAAAGAGAGGTTGGAAAATGGTCAAGAAAAAAAATCAGACTATTTTTGGTGCAGGACCTGAGGGCTATAGCTGAAACACCCAAGCACGGCCCTTTTGCTCTGCTGACCGCACGGTTAGCAGGGTCCAGACTCAACCTGCCGCTCAGCTTTTCTCAATTAGAAAGCCCTGCGTCATGCCGTCCACATCTGCAGCCGTCGCTTATTTACAGGCCTGCTGCTTTGAGCCGGCAGCCAGCCGCTGCATCAAAAGGAGGCGGCAGCGAAAAAGCCAAATAAGAGTGATGAAACGAAAAAAACAAAGCACCGCTGTCCTCAGGCGAGCGGTCCTGATGAAAAAACTGGCCGGGATTCAGAGCCAAATCAGTGGACAGAGTGAGAAAGAGAACAAGAGAGAGAATCAAATAAACAGGAACGGAAAACATACCTCATCAAAGTGTCGCAGATAGTAAGCAACAATGAAGGACAGAAGACTCTGGGAGTTATCCTGATGGAGAGAGAGAGAGAGAGAGAGAGAGAGAGAGAGAGAGAGAGAGAGTAAGGAAGTTAAACAGTCTTTCAGTGACTGTAATTAGGAGCCACACTGTACCATTTATCTTTAACCCCTTAAAATTCCAGGTTTATTACATACTAAGGCTTATTATTGAGTAATTACAGGGCTTCAGTGCAAATTGACTGAGCTATTCTTAGGTTATAGAAGTGTGTGCTAAAACTTTGAGCCTTAGCCATTTAAGGGGTTAATCCATTTAAGATAAAATAAGGGATAATGAAGAGAACTGATGATGATGATGATGAGGATGAGGATGATAGTGAAAGTCGCTCCCAACTCACACTGCTTTTGACGTCTTTGAGTTTAGGAAGGATGTCCAGAGTGAAGCCGTCCGCCTGCCCTCTGCTCCTGTTCCCTCCGTTCATGAAGTTGCCCAATGCCAGAACCAGCCCAAGAACCTGCAGAACACCTTCACCAGACTTCAGAGTCTAGAGAGTGAGACAGAGAGAGAGAGAGAGAGAGAGAGAGAGAGTGAGAGAGACCAATGTTGTACCTGAGCGAGACAATCGCTGTGCTGACATGCAAAGATTTTTGCCAATCCAATTAAATACATTACGCTTATACATTAAGACTGAGGTGTTTATTAACACTTTACTCAACAATCTGATGGAAAATCTCTGTTTACATGCTCACTACAAATAATCCGATCCACAATTATGTGCATGCGTAGAGAAACACTTAATGTAGTCGTTACCATGACAACCAGCATCATGTGAGTCCAGTCAGAGTGAGATGAGCAGCAGTGAGCAGTTCTTGTGTTTTTAATCACTTTAAAATGATGTCAGACTCAGGAAAATGTCCTTCGCATGTCCTTATTAAAGAAGGCCGAGAAGAAGACGTCGTGTTCTGAGACGCATAAACTGGACGTCTGTCCCACTGCCATCTTTTAAAGATCAGAGCATAAACTTCGTCTCCTCTGCAGACCATTTTCTGCTCCCGCCATGTTGAACGGTATAAACTTTCACTATGATGCGACGCACATGCTCAGAACAAACTTTCTGAATGGGAATATAATCAGATACAGGCGTTTACATTATTTTTTATTATTCTTCTATTTAACGGATTATTTATAGGATCACCCACCTCGTTCAATCGGATAGAAATTGTATTCCGAATGGCCTCAATCGGACTAGTCTATTGCGATTGAGGTGTATACATGGACATATTCAGATTGAGCTATTAGTCAGGTTATTTACGGATTATTAGGCTGCATGTAAACATGGCTACTGTATGTAAAAACCATGGAGATGTGTGTTGTGGTCCTTTGAGTCAACATTTCAGACTGTTTATGGAAATAACAGGCCGAACAGGAAAAGCACAACCCAGACTGTTACCTGCGTAAAGTTAAAAATCCACCATCTCTCACTGTGTGGTGGTGGGTTAATGGGCAACTTACACACCTATGAAGACCACTGAAATGTGTTGCACATTATAAAGCAGAAAATATGTCAACAGAGGTCTTGTTTAGTTATGCTGCTCAACACACGCATAACAGATAAACAGCAAAAAAATCCACTTTCAAAACAGTGATAAATATGTTCCTGTCTCAACTTTTTGGAATGTGTTGCAGGTATCAAATTCAAAATGATTTCCAAATTTGTCTATTCTGAAATTTAAAAAAATATATACAATTTAATGCAGTTTCCAACTGAAAACAGATCAAGCAGAATTTACTAATCTTGCGTTCTGTTTTATTAGTGTTTCATATACTGTACTTTTTTGGAATTGAAGTTAGAATTTTTGAATGTTCATTAAGTTACATGAATGGGAAATTATAATTAATTTTCCTTCCATACAGTGAAGCGTGGGTGTCTCTGAGCTGGCTGAGCATTTTCTCTCAATGATATGTAGAGATGGTGGGAGGAGGAGGTGAAACACGATATTATTGGGGTATATTATCAAAAATTTTAAATCAGAATAAATCAGAAACCTTGGACAGAATAATAAAAACTCAGATGATGTTTCAGAGGCAGGCAAACATCAGTATGCTTATGGAGAAAAAAAAATAGTCTTTTACATGACATGATGACTCATACTTATTATAAACAGGAAGGTGAATAAATGAGGTAGAAAAGGTCAATTTTGATTTCAGCTTGACTTTAACTTAGGAAGATATCCGTGAGGGACCCATGGAGTATGCTCACATCTCACTGCTGCGGCAGAGTGGGGAATAAATGAACGTTGTTCAGCCAAACTTTCATATTATAAATGATATCCATACTCTAAAGGTCTGTTTATTTTGTTCTGCCCTAAAATGACAATTTGGCAAATGCATACAGAAAAAAATGAATGACGATTTTGAAGAACATCTGCCCTGCCCAGTAGAAAATAGTAATGTCCGTCTCATGATGGAAGTTTAGCAGCAGTAGCAGCAGGGTTAGCTTGCATGTACCCCACACTCATATTTCCAATCCTTAATGACCTCATAATTCAGACGATCCGGCATCGCTCAAAGGAAAAATGTACACATGGTAAATATAAAAGGTTTGTAACATTTTATCACAGTGTGCAATAGTAACAATTTTCAACAACACAACTCCTTTTGCCATAGAGAAATTAGCTCAGACCTGGAGTTCCTTATATGGGCATGACGTCAAGAACAGGAAGACGTACGACTTCAGAGGTCTGCATCTAACAAGCTGGCGTGTTAGTTATGGAGTTTTCAAATGTAAAGACTGTAATGTGACACTGACAGTAGCCAATCCAAATTTTCAGCAAAGAACATTCAAAAAGGTCTCCATTCATTCCATCTCTCTCAAATGTCTGATATTTCACATTCAATAATAACTAACAGAACATGGAGTTCAATTATGAATTTGTTTTGTTCAGCATTTCTCTTATTCTCACCGTGCAGACCCGCTGCAGCAGGTGGATTTTGCGCTGGACGTTGGAGATGCACTCGGTGAAGGTGGACTGGAACAGAATGCAGAAAACACGCCCAGAAAACTGAGGGACCTCCGCCAGCTGCAGCAGGAACCTACACACAAACAGCTGTTCATTGACCTACCGATGCTCCGCCCACAAATTTAGAGAGTGTTACTTATTTTCATATGCAATTTGTTTAGTGCATATGTGAAAAATCACAGACAGAAAGTTCACCAGCTTCAGCTGTTTTAGCATTGCTAGCTAGCTAAGTTAAAGTCGTAGTCTACACTAGTGGCTACTGTAGCCTGACTGAAGTTACTCTGAAGGACATTTTACCTGTGGACTTTCCATTACATGACAAAAACACTCCATCTATCCTAATAGTGTGATCACAAGTGTACAAAATAAAAATAATGTAAAGTTAATAATCAACTCTAAATGTAGGTATTTTGACACAATTTGAGTTTTGGAAAACGGTGCTACTCAGTGGCAAACTGCGACTAGTAATGCTGAGCCTTCAGTTTGGACCACAGATTTCAAAACAAAGGCAAACATCTATGGCACTGCTGATTTCTGCTAGCACCCCTATGGGATTCTAGTAGTTTGTTATCAGACATTACATTGCTGTTTTCCATTTCTAACAACTGACTGAAATGCACTGGTCAGCCTATTGCATAATGGAAAAAGCTTGCTTGGCAGTATCTACCTAGATACCATAGAGGAAAAAAAATCCTGATTGAATAATTTTCTATTAGGCATTTCTAGAATTCAACCCTTTCCAAACAAAATGTAATGAGTATCACTACAGTACATGTAGAGCAGGCAAGTCAAACTGGGGATCTTCCAGTGCCATGGAGATCAGTGTTTACCTCATCTAACACTCTGAATGAAGGCCTTGCTAATTAGCTGATGAGGTGAATCAGGTGAGTTTAATGAGGCAGTGTGCTGAAGTCTGCAGTGTTTTGGCCCGCGAGGAATTGACCCTGACACATGTGAGTTTCAAGGTGCCACAGATCTAGCAGGACAGAAATTTCACAAACTTACTTGTGGCAGAGGTGGCATCCTATGACAGACATGCCAGTGTTCATCTATCGAGACTGCAAGGCTATGTCTGCTTAATTTTATCCACCTATTAGCAATGAGTGTGGCTGAAACACCTGAACTCAATAATTAGGAGGTGTGTCCCAATACTTTTGTCTATATAGTGCATATAAAAAGCATGATGAGTCTATTAAATACAAAATCAACTAAACATTACAAACATTTTGTTTTTTCACAGTGGCCTAGAAGCCTCGAGGGTCCCCACTGGTACTAATGTTCTGTAAAACTTGCCAACCTGGCAAATGTTGCTACAAAAGAATCCATACGTGGGTGGAACATGGATTGGTCAGTCTGATTCATCCCTGTAAAAGCATTTGAATGTGAATATGTATAAATCTCACTGTTCAGGCTTGTCCAGAGGTTTGGCGTTCTCCTTCTCTGCGTTGGACTTGATGTGTCTCTCGATCTGATCCATCTCCTCTTTCTGAGCACGCTGTGCCACAGCAAGACAGAGAAGACAAAATAAAGAGAGATATTCATTCACTGGCAATCTTTCAAAGGGAAATTCCACTGAGTTTTTAAAGTTCTGCGTGGTGGTGACAGGAATCAGGTGAGAAGATTCTTCTGCCTGTGCCCACTCTGCCCTGAATATATTTAAAAAATAATAATCTTTAGGCCAAAACTGTATCCCAAAAACAGTGTCTGAGGCATCAGGCAGTGCATTCATAACCATTTCATGTAGTAACTTTCTGTGAGGGAGATTTTAGAGGTGGACATCTTGTTCCTATCACCACCACTGAACAATTCTGATTCTGTTTGTCTAGAACAGAGCGTTTCACACCAAAACGCTCTGAATGATTTACACCTTAACCATTTAATCATGTTGCAATTTTGAAAAAAACAGTGGAATTCCCCTTTAAACATAACCATCTATGTGTTTTGTGGATGACTGGTTGCTGTTGTGCTATGAATTGCGAAAGGGGCCAGTCATGCTTTATAAAGGAAAGGCCTCAGGGGTGATTATTGAATATTATAGTAATCAGTAGCACAATGAGGAGTAAATGTGTGTGTGTGTGTGTGTGTGTGTGTGTGTGTGTGTTAGGCCCGAGCACTCATGCAGAGGAAGCAGATGAAGGACCACTGGCCTGCTTACTGTGGTTGAGTTGGGCAGGGGGAAAGAGGAGGGGAGAGCGAGTGTTTTGAGTGGTTTTGGGTGAAGGAGTCAGAGACAGTGCGGAGTCTCTCACACTGAAGAGAAACAACCTCAACATCCCAGCAACCCTCGCACTCCAGAGACTCAGCAAACTCTTCAGTCTTTTCAAACATTCCCAGTTTTACATTTAAATACTCAAAAACTTTCAGTTTCTTATTATACAACAATTTGGGCTCTAAAATCTGAATACCTGAGCCACGTTTAAAGCCGTTGTAGAATATTTAACACAGAGCTTTTAGTTTTTAAAAACAACAGCCTTCTGTTAAAAGGGGAATTCCACCAATTTTTCAAAATTTCCACAAAATTAAACTGTTAAGATGTAAACAGAGACATTCAGAGTGGTTTGGTGTGAAATGCTCTGTTCTAGAGAAACTTCAGATGTCCGAAGTCAGAATTGTTCAAAGTGGTAGTGATAGGAACCAGATGTCCGAAGATTTTAACATCTCTAAAACTTGAAAAAAAGTGATTAATTGCATAAGTTTTAAATGTCGTAACAGCACAGTGGGGAACCCTCACATTTATATAATATCATACTTTGTATTATATTATATTGTATTTGAAGCTGTAAGAATTGTAGTAAAACCTTTATTTCATTGTTACATTTTGGTTGGAATCAAAATGCTATAAATTCTAGAAGTGCCTAACACAAAATGATCCAATCAGGGCTATGTTCTCATTGGTAGCTAGGAAGAAACAGCCAACAGAGCTCTCTCATTGGTTAGGACTTCAAGAGCTGAACTGAAGGCCTTACAGGTTAGATTTTCTATCAGCATACTAGGAAGTCACAGATTAATGAACTAATCATATTTAAATGGGAAACTTTGTGAGTAAAAAAGGTTCCTCTAGGTTAGGGGTCGGCAACCTGTGGCTCTTTTACTGCCCTGTTTTGGCTCCAAAGCAGAATTATGTTTAAAAAACATAAAATAATCTTATTCTGCAGTAAAATAAAGCTCTGCTGATCGTTCTAACACAGTTTTAACAACCAACTGTCTTAGTTGCTGGAGCCTATATATGCTAATTCACCCTATAACTGCCATAGTAACGCAGACAGTCTCACCTAGCTAGTAGCTAATGAAATGGCAAAGAGAAAGATTTAAGACGAACATCAATAATTTGGAGACGAATGGACTTTATAATGGCGTTTGGCATTTATAAGCACTTCAGCTGGTTTCCTGATATGTTTAATCTGCAACAAGAAACTGTCAAACACTAAAAAGTCATGAAGCTGAAGTCAGTGTCTCATTCAAATTCTCCCGTTCCACCTTATATGGTGCAGCAGTTACGTTCCGGCAAGGCACCATTTAAGGTGGAATGGGAAAATTCAAACAAGAAGCTGGCGAATGAGAAGCTGATCTCGTAAACGTTGAGAGACGTTTTACAAGAATATACTCTTGCGGAAAATTTCCTGTCAGAGATGCAAGAAAAGTGGCTATAGCTGAGCAAAAGCTTAAAGTAGAGCAAAGTAAGTCTGTTTTTTTATTTATGTTATATTTTTTGCCTACACTAGCACATCAGCACATACTGAGACATATTTACAGCCAATATGGTAAAATGGACATAAAATGTTGTGGCTCCCAAGGTGGTCTGATTTTCGCTGAAAGGACAGAATGGCTATTCTTAACATTTGGGTTGTCCACCTCTGTTCTAGGCCTTTTGGAAGTTCTACGTAAGTTGCTGACAATAGTCACAGCCTAACCAGGTTTCAGTTAGTGGTTAGGAATGGAAAACAGCAGCAGTAGGTCTATGCCAGGACTCATTTCTAAAAGAATCACTGTAAACCTGATACATACAAGCTAAAATATAAGTTAATATCTGTTTTAAGCTTTAGATAAAATATATAGAATATCTTTTACAAGCCTTGAATGTCTGGGTTTAATCTAGGAGAACCAAAAAATTGTTCATGTGGAACAGCTTAGCGCTAACATACCATTAGAAATCACATATAGGTGCTAGAAGAAATGAGTATCATCACAGAGGTGTTTTTGACAGAGTTTTGAACCGAAGGACCAGCTCTAATGGTCATGGTTGGCCACTGTAATAATATCCAAACCACTGATGTTCCTTCAACACTATTACATCTATTTAAAAGTGATTTGAACTATTTAAAAGTGATTTGAAGTCTTTATGGAGGAGCAAATTTTTGCTTTGACTAAAAGGGTCTTGAAACAAAACTAGTAAAAATAAAATATGCATCAGCCAATAAGTTACATAACGGAGTTAGAATACTCAGCATTTCACTCTCGACTCAGAGCTGTTCTGTTTCTGCTTTCCGAGCCCAGTTAATGTCTTCATGTCTCTCTCTCTCCTTCTCTCTCTCTCCCTCTCCCTCTCTCTCTCCCTCTCTCTCAGTCTGCAGTGGTCTCTCTGGCTCCATGGTAAACCCTGTACATTCCCGCGGTGTTCGCGGCCTGTGTGTTTGTTTTGGTATGTAACACACACATTTCCTCGGCTCCGTGTCCAGGCGAACCGCACTCCGGCTGCCTCACAGTGACCCGGAGCGGAACGAACCAATAACAGAAAATAACGGGGGGCGGCGGTGAGAGTGTCACAACTCATCTCGCACACTGAGTCGGGCTGTTTTCTCAGAGCTTCTGAAGGAGGGCGGCTTACGTTCTCAAACAGAGCCTGAAGCGTCTCCAGATCCACCACAGTGTTGTCCATGTTCAGGATGGCTGTGGGGGAAAGAGAAGAGAAAGAGACATTTTTGGTCATCTCGTCAAATGGAAGTGGTCATTTGACCGATCCAGTCAGAGAGAACCTAGCAGTGCGGAGATATTTAATGAACATTTGATGATTATAGGTTAATAATCACATTTTCACATTAAACTCAAGAACATATGTTAAAATTCAAATTCCAGTAACAATAAAAGAGGCAGAACAACTTGAATCAACTGATTAACATGTAGCTTAGATAACAATGCTAGCTAGCACACTGGATGATTGAGCTAAAGTTGTCAGCAGGTCTAGCTGAAGTTTTAGTGAGTAACAGATCACATTCTTTAAAACTTCAGCTAAAGCAGCTGACAACTTTAGCTAAATCATCTAGCGTGCTAGCTAGCGTTGTTATCTAAACTACATGTTACACAATGGATTAGTTATTACCTTAGTTAGCTAGCATCCATGCATTATATACACCAGCACACCAATATGCACATTACAGAACTTACAGAAGAATGATCAGCTCAGATAGCAAGAGGTTAGTGGGCTACTGTCGGCCCACTGATGGCAAAGCTGGCAGCCCACTGGCTTTTTCTCAGCATTTTCTAGGCGGACCACTCGTATAAGAAGTGTTAGACAGGATACGACTTTTAATCTCTCATTTTTCACTCACAGTCCGGTTTACATATTAATCATTCCTTTCTTTTGTTATCCTTTGTAAATTAGTTTAGTAAATAATTTTAACAGTGATATCATAAATAAAGCCGGTTATACAGCTGTAACCAATCTAGCACAGTTACAGTGTCAGCAACATTTTCAACAAAATCATTTTCTATTCGGCCTAGTCATTCATTGTTCTCTCAATTGTTTGAAATGATTGTCTTCGTTCATTTTCCAAAATAAAAGGCTGTGCACATTTTAAATCTGACGGACAGTAATCTGGGTGGTCCCAGGGTGGACCAGCACTGGCAAAAGGTCTGCGGAGTGAGAACCTTATCAAGCCAGCGGACCGATGTACGCCTGCTATCTGGGAAATAATAAGTCTCCACACTTAATAGGATAACAGGGCCTGCATTCCTTCGCTAGTACTTCGCCACAAACCACAAATCTTCAGCCTTGCACTGAAAAAATGCTATAAGTTTAGCACTCAGTCAATCTTTTAGTTCAGTGAAGACCCCTGATAACCGGCCTAAAGCAGCAGCTGCCGCCTTGCTGTTTTTTTCACAGCAAAAGTCAGGCGAGTACAAGCAGTCCTGATCTGAGGAGGTTTTGGAGGGAATGTATAGTTGAGTGAACGGTTAGTGTTAAGCCAGAAACACATTCAACGCAAGTAACATACTCAACGTTCAGCCAACACTCTGCAAACATACGGCCATTCTGTACAAACTGACCATTACTGTGGCGGCTAAAACACTCAGTACTCTAGGGGGCGATAGAGAACAAATAAGAACAGGAGCTACTATCATTCCAACATCCCCAACAATGAAGAGGTGTTGATGTAATATATATGTTAATGCAAGTAAACAATTTTTGCGAGAGACTCATCCAGCTGCTCCTCTGCTGCGACAGTTGACCCGGGAGAAAACACACAGCTTGGTCAGGCCTGGCTGTCGCTATAGCGCCCCTTGATGTAATGCTGAAAATTATAAATTGCGTTGTGCAATTTTTGAATGCAATGACATGCAAAACTGCGTAGCTCTGCATTTGCGTACTTGTGTGAAGATGTTTCTGGCCTTGGCTGGTTAAATAGCTTGTTCTTTTGCAACTGTGCGTGAAAAGCAACAACATATTGTCTACAAACGTTTCTCTGCTTAGTTGTTTTTTCAGAAGGAAGATGCCACGTCTTGCCATTTTGTTTTCTATTGCCCGGCTCTTCTGACTCTTCTTGCGACCACCCTGGAACCATTTCAGGACCCCCAGTTTAAGAACCCCTGGTTTAATGTAATGCATTCAGCTAATAACAAGAGTAAACTAAAACTCTAAAAAAGACTCAATTCAGACTCGAGACTCGATTTCAGAATTACATGAAGCAGCATCTCTGTGATCTGTGTTATCGTGGTCACATAAACAGCTACAATTCTGCTATTTTTATAATATTAGCCTTCTGGCGCTGTTTAACTGTCCGTTTCTAACTAATACTTGTAGCTAAATGTCATTTCAGTTCCAGCTTATGATTATAGCAAGCTAGCTACTCCCACCATGCTGTTAGTAACTTACCTAACATTTGTGCTAGCCAAGCTAGTGTACAGTTCATTTGTTTACATCATGTCAATAAGCAGCTGTTAAAGAGGAATTCCACCTATTTTTCAAAAATTTTACATAATTGAATTGTTGAGATGTAAACAGAGTCATTCAGGGTGGTTTGGTGTGAAATGCTCTGTTCTAGACAAACTTACAGAATTGTTCAGAATTGTTTACAATAGTGGTGATAGGCAGGGATGGAGGAGTGGCTAAGTAGCGCACTACTTTTTGTAGCTAACTACAATGTTTTGTAGCTAATGGCTGTAGCTGCTACAGTTTTATAGAATGTAGCTAATAGCTGTAGCGCCTACAAATTTTTGTGTAGCTATAGCAAAAATTTTCGCTACAATTTCGCTACAGGCTTCAGGCAATCCACACAAATTCTGAACCATAGAGTGCAGTCGTTAACGGGGCTGGTGGAGATTGTGCAAACCTGACTGAGCCGCGGACAGTTCGAGCAAACAGTCACCTGTGGGTCCCACGCGCTGATCACCCCTTACTAGTAGGCTTAACTCAGGGGTCGCAACCCAAATGCTAAGAACAGCCATTCTGTCCTTTCAGCAAAAATTAAACCATCTTGGGAGCCACTACCATGTTATATTTACCATCATGGCTGTAATGTCTTTATAGGCTAAAAATATAATATGAATATGTATATTTTATATAAATATATAAAAGCTGCAAATATAATAATAATAATAATAATAATAATAATAATAATAATAATAATTTTATTTATATAGCACTTTTCATGCCAGTGGCAGCTCAAAGTGCTTTACAGACAGGTGATAAACATAGTTATAGAAAAGATCATTAGTACTTAATTAGAATCAGAAGAAAACGAAGAAGATTAAATTACAAGATAAACACCACGAGACATTCAGTACGAGTTGTAAGGGATGTGTAGTTTTCTTAGGGAGTCCAGTAAGAAGAGCATTACAGTGATCAACTCTGCTTGTAACAAATGCATGAACAAGTTTCTCTGCGTCGCTCTGAGATAGAAAAGGCCGAACTTTAGCAATGTTTCTTAAATGATAAAAAGCTACTTTAGTGACCGTGTTTACATGTGGGGTAAAACAGAGCTCAGAGTCTAAGATCACACCCAGGTTTCAGGTTTGGTAGATGAAGCTAAAGAACCAAGTTTCTCAAAAATCATTTTTCTCTGAGTTTCTGTACCAACAATCAGTAATTCATTTTTTTTCATGATTTAATTGTAGAAAATTTTGCAACATCCACTGAGAAATATCTGACACACAGCTGGTTAGTCTGTCTACAGAGTCTTGATCTTCAGAAGGAATAGTAATGTATAACTGGGTGTCGTCGGCATAGCTATGAAAATTTATACTATGTTTCCTACTAACATCACCTAGTGGTAGCATGTACAAAGAGAAAAGCCAAGGCCCTAAAACTGAACCTTGGGGGACTCCAAAAGAAACGGCAAATCGTTTTGATGAATGATTTCCAAGTGAAACCATGAACCGCCTATTACTTAAATATGATTTAAACCATTCTAAAACTGTGCCTGAGAGGCCGACCCAGTATTCAAGACGCTAGAGTAAAATCTTGTGGCCAACAGTATCAAAGGCTGCACTAAGATCTAATAAAACCAAAATAGAAGGATTTTGTGCATCAGCGCTGAGCCTGAGGTCATTCACAACGTGAATCAATGCTGTCTCTGTACTATGGTTAGAACGAAAACCTGACTGAAACTTCTCATATGAATTGTTTGATATTAGATACATATTTAGTTGTTTGAAAGCAACTTTTTCTAAGACTTTACTTAGAAAATGTTCAGGGACAGGGTCAAGATCACATGTGGATGAACTTAGTTTGTTTAAAATAGCTGTGAGCTCCTCATAGTTGATAACAGAGAAATATGTCATTACTGATGTAGGTGACCTATCAGGAACATTATAGGAGCTTGTTTGTGTCTGCTGAGCTACACCCTGTCGTATCAGGTCTATTTTATTTTGGAAATGAATTGCGAACTCTTCACCGATATTAGAAGATAAATCATCATTAAACGCACTAGCAGAGAAGTTAGGGTTAATTAGTCGGTCTATAGTGGAAAAAAGGATTTTGGTATTATTTTTGTGTCTATTGATTACACTAGAGAGATATGACTGTCTGGATATTGGATATAGCAATATATATTATATTTATTGGCTAATGTCATGGCAAATCCAAATTTTGAGTTCTGTTATTTGTTCATATTTAAAATATTCACTGATTGTTGGCTATTTGTTCAGTTACTATTGGACTATAAGGTAGTTTGACCTCAGAAAGTGAACAATGAAGGGAAGGATAATTTAGGGGTTTCTAATAAAGTGGACGGTGGGGTGTCATTTTGTTGGAGGATCCAATGAATCATGGATGAAAGCAATGAAATAAGCGAGCGGGTCTGAGGGAGCCGGAATGAAATGAGGTTTAAAGGGAATGCAATACAAATCATGTCAAAGTTATTTTGTCTCTAAATTAAGGTTTAAAGCAAATCCGCTTCAGCCAAGAAGCACAGTTCATGACAACAATCAATCCAAAACAAACAAGCCCAATCAAGGGCTTAAAAACACGGAAAACTGGACGGCGAAGAGCCGAAACTTTATCATGTAAACCAACAAAACAGCCCAGACAATAACAGCCGCAGTTTGATCCACAGCCGGATCAGCACGAGCCAAGTTTACTACACTCTCTCCAACACAGCCAGAGCAGCTCTTTAGCTGACAGAGGGAATTATATCATTTAGCAATGCTAACATGTAGATTAGAGTGACAAA